GTCCGACCTCGGCTATGACATTGTCGATGAGGCAGCAGAGCTGTGGAGGGGTTCAGTGTTACGCGCGATGAAGGCGCGAGCACGACTATGCTATATACCATGCACGGTTACTCCACACTGACTGGCGGTCAACCTGCCCTATATGACAGACTTCAAATTGGCGCTTGTAGTCACTGGAAGGGCCTCTTAGGCTTTGGGTGCACTTGGAGGGCAAGACTTGATTGTAAAAGAAACGTGAACCGCTGCAGGGCGGGAGCTAGCCTCTGGAAGCTACTCGGACCTAGCGATGAGTTCACGACCAGGGAGCTACGAAGAAGGTCCGAAGACACGGCGTCAATCACATCATCGAGCATGAGGTGATAGCACGTCTTGATAGCCACGCGTTCATGGGTGCCTTCGAAGGACACGCCAAGGCCAGGCCGTGGATATCAAAAGCAAGTGATGATGCTTTGCAGTGCATATGCAGCTGAACAGCCACAGGAGGTGCTCTTGCATGCATCGACACGTCTGTTCGACATGGGTCGTAGGCAGCGAAGAGACGAGTCTGCGCAGATGGACCTTCTGCGCAGACATTGACATGCAAGCTAAACCTTGTGTGCGATAGATGGAGTGCCTGTTCCTGGCTCGCCGGCCATGACATGATGAAATCGGCACAGCGCGTCTCACCGGCAACGCGGTAGCACAGACGATAAAGCAGATCTTGTATGACCGGTCAGAGGCCAGAGGCTGTGAAAAGGCAAGGGAGGCGTCGAACGGTGGTGCATAGCCGGGCTCGCTAACCAATGAGGCAGTCTGTGCCAGGATAGCCGTCCACGTCGACTGGAGGGCGAGGGTGAATGCGCATGCGCAGGCCACGATGGTGGTGGTGGACGATGGCGTGGCCGCGGTCTCGATGTCGGAGGAGTGGTCCCAGCTCCCTGAGCCCGCCGAAGCTTCCACAACGAGTCACGCCAGTCACGGCTTGGACACTGCACACCTCCATCTTCCCCGGATTTGGCCCAAGTCAGATAGATTCCCTCATTGAGCACCTGCTGCTAGCTCCCTGCAGCTCCCGATAGCTTTATCTTGCCCGCCCGACTACTGCGCGGCTGCTGCGTCGTTTATCTCGTGCGCGAGCTTAGCTATCTTCCGCCCTCGTCATTCCACCACGGCCGCGTGACTGACTCCCGGCGCATGCGTCCCAACCCTCTCTGACTCTTCATACGCCATCTGCCATCCGCCTGCCCTGCCTGATTGCCTGCCTCTGTCCAGGACTCCGCCGTAGCAGTTGTCGTCCCAACAGCTGCAGCCACCCTCACTGCGCCCTTCTACCTCCCAGCCGGGTGCTCAGCTTAACTCCGCTCATTGCCCCAGGCACGCATTCAACACAGCGCCAGCACCCTGCATATCATGGCTGCTGCCTGAGCCCTACCCGCCTGTTGAACCATCCCCCGCGTGCCCAAGTCTTCTGAGAGACATATCTGACGGCTCCTACGCGAACCTGACCCTGGCTGCACTCGTGATGGCTACGCGCATTCACCCTCGCCTGTTTCCGCCGCAACCATAACCGTCCTACTTCACTCGCCCGAGTCCCTCGCTGCCAGTCACGACACGCTCTCTTCCCGCCCGTACCTGCAGGAGGCCGCCGCCATGCACCCATACTCGCGCCCCTCGCCGCGGACAGCCTCGCCTGCCAGCAACCTCCAGACCAACCCCACACGAACCAACAACCAGCGGCATAACAGCCAGGACATGACGGCATACTCGACTACGCCGCCCTACAGCGACCGCGGTGCTGAAGAGTCGGAAGGCGAGATGATGTCGAGGGGAGAGCCCGCCTCCGAGTCGAGGGGGCAATACCACAAGGTCAACCAAGTCATCCAGGTACTTATCTTCTCCTCCCATCTGTGGCTGGACGCATACTCACTCCCACCAGAACTTCTTCACCAAATCAGCCCTCGCCATCGTATCTTCTCGCGTAACACTGCCCCCAGCATACAACAAGGATGGCAAGATGAAGCACAACAAATGGGTATGTGTTGACTATCCCGCAACTCCACATTCCTCGCTGACATGCCATAGTTCAATGTCGTCCTCCCCGATAGCGATGTGCTCCAGCGCCAACTCGCCGAATGGAAACTCATGGATGCCGTGAACGGCCAGCATCCCTCACTATGCATCGACATCTACCTGGACATACAAGGCCTCGGCCACAACCAGTCGCTTGTCATACACGACGATGATGGAAAGAAGTGGGACGTCACTGCGGCTCTTAGCTCTGCAGATGCGACCTCCCGATCGTCAGGCCGCACCGGCAAATCCACGCAGGTTGTGCTCGAGCGTTGGAGGGTACACGTCGGAGACAAGAACTTGGTGCAGCCTTCAGAGCTGAGCGAACCGCTTCCCAACGTGTACAAGAAGGCCGTCGTCACTTTCCGGTCGCTGTTCGCTTACCTGCGCTTCATGCCTGCGTTCAGATACAACAAGGTGCTCGCCAAGCAACCCGCAAACTCACCCTCACTGAAGCTCAACTACCGCGTTTCGAATGGGGATTTTAAGAGCCCCAACTTCGACACCCTGAATCTGCCGCTCTACCCAACCGACCCAAATGAAAGGATTACAGACATAAACGACATCGAGCCCACCAACTCGCCTGTAGGCCCTCTGAGTGTGACAGTCGAGTACCGCACCAACTGCGAGTTCAGCGTAGAAGACTCAGAGTCTCTTCTGAGTTCGCAGTTCCAGGGCCTGGACGACACTTATTTCGAGCAAAAGACACGCCAACTACCTGGATCACTTCCTGTAAACAAGATGAATGCGCAAGAGAGCCCTGATGTTGGACAAGCATACGGCAGCCTTTCAACGTTCCACCAAGTTGGTCCGCCAACAGGAACAAGCCCCATCTCAGCTCTGCGCGCAGCACGGGATATGCCGTCATCATCACCCATGGAGTCACCACCACAGAGGCTGCCACCCAACCATCGCACCGCCCAAGGCTCCAAGTCATCCTTACGCTCTGTGGATACGCCGTCATACCAGCGGCGAACCTCAGTCTCTTTCCAGCCCTTCAAGGCTGGCTCACTCTCATCCTCGCCAGCCCTCGGTGTGCCTCCATCTCCAACCAGCTCTGTAGGAAGACCCGGCAGCTCCCTTGGTCGAACCGCTACCCCCAACCCACTCACTCAACCGCGTAACCGAACGTCACTGACTGCCCTCCCTCAAACGGCGCTTCGGACCCCTTCATTACCCAACGACAATGTCATCACTTCTTCCGCATCAAGTTCGCCAAAGCCTGCGCCCATCAGTCGCTACAGCAGTAGCTTCGGTCATAGGAGGAGCAAGTTTTCCACAGGTGGCGGCAGCAAAACAGAGGATGACAACCTCAGTAGTGGGAAGGGAAGCCTCTCCTCGTCAGCGCAACGCGGGTCTGACACCATGAATGAGGGCACAGGCGGCAGTTCAGGCGAAGTGAAGACGGACGATGAGAATATTTCCGACTTCCTCAAGCTTCTTGAATCGAAGAAGGATTTGAAGAGCTTCACACGGAGCGACAAATCCGCAAAGGCAGCCACCATGCACAAGACTACTGCTCAGTTGTCCAAGTATCAGCGGATGCGCGAGTCACATACAGGCCTTGCTGAATCGGTTTCGTCTTCTACCATGCTTCATCGCACACCGTCATCTTCCAGCCGACATCTATCTAGCGTGCCTGCAATGATTGCCGGCACATCAGTATCGACAGCGTCTTCACCTGGCAAGCCAATCTCACCCCATACTCCGCACACACCAGCGATCCCGTCTCGTCTCAGCGCAAATAGTATCGCTGACTACGACCAACCTACACGCAGTCGAAGCCGCCCTGGTCGAAGGTCGCGCGAGCACGACGTTGTCAACGTCGAAGAGCAAAGCGAGAGCGAGGATCAAAACCTGAACGCCATTGCCATTCCAACTTCACCACGGCCGTGGCACTACACCCGCCGATCAAGTTCCGTCTCGCAGCAAAATCGAACACTACCTGACGACGAGCCCGACGTGTTCGGCGTCCGATCGGCCAGTCTACCATCGGAGGAGGTTGATCGCGCTAACGATCTGCATCGTCTGACCAGCGCAGGTCTTACGTCTAGTGGACTATTCGCGCAAACGGAGCTACTAGCTAGTGGCAATCGCGATAGCCAGACTGCTGATAACGATTCTCGCGACGACTTGCCCCGGCCGTCGTCCACTTCCAACATGGCCAAACGCGGCACCCAGGCTGGTGCGCGTGGTCGAGGCGGATTCTTCTCGCATAGCTCTTCCACCAGCCTCAGCACTGGCGGTACGAGCTCGACTGAACGTCAAAGTCGCTACAACTTTAACAGCCGCGCTGCTACGAATGTCGACGACGACGAACCTCTGCTCTTCCAGATGAGCGAGATTGGTGCCGGGGGCTCCCGACGCAGTCTTGAGGAAGCACGAGGCGGCACCAGTACAGGCAGCGGCGGAAAGCGTGGATCGTACTTTCGCTGAGCATTTTACTTTCAAAACAAACACGTCAAGCTTTTGCACTTCTCGATCTCTATTACAATCCTTTCCAATGGCGTTTCCGGGGCATGGAGTCTGGGATATCCTTCTATCATCCCTTTAGCGTTTTACATACGTTGTTGCGCATTTCCAACTTTTCGTTCTTTTCTCACTTATCAGATTGAGTACCCATGGCGGAATGGATGGACCCGGCGTTAAACAAATGGGTGTTTGTTTCTTTTTTTGTAAACGGCCGGGAAGGACATCTAACTCTCATGTAAGGAGTGGATCTTTATCTATGATTGTCATCAGTGTTTTGATGCTCGGCGGGCGCGGAGTTTCTGGGATGGGATGGAATAGGCATGGATGGTATGGGTATGGATACGGTTTATCAGGGTAGCGCAGACGTCTTGATTGGATCGTCTGCAGTTTGAATGAATATGTTATCACTCCGCTCATTTTGTACTCGACTTTAAATTCCCCGGCGACGCAGTAGTGATGTATGTAAGCAGAGGTACTCTCTACTTCACCTTCTTCCCCTCCAACAAATCATCCAGCCCCTTCAGTCCTCCCTCAAACCCATCAAGATCATACTCCTTGGGATACCTCACAAGCACGTCTTTCAACTCCTGCACATGCTCCCTCTGCTCAGCCGTCAAGTCCTCCCAAACCCCCTCAAACGCATTCCGGATACTAGGTTTCTTCTCCTTCTCCGCCTGTTCAAATGCACTCAACACCTCTTTCCTCGTCGCACTCCTCAACTCCTTCTCTTGGGCATCATCCCAGAGTTCGCGTCCTTCAAGCCACTTTCTAAGCCGGGTAATGGGGTTATCGCGGCGCTTCCAGTCCTCGACCTCGACGCGTTGGCGGTACGCGAAGGAGTCGTCGGATGTACTGTGGTGGCCTACGCGGTATGCCATCATTTCTATCAAGACGGGGCGCCCGCCGTCGTGGAGAGCCAGGCGCCGCGCTTCGGCTGTGGCGCGCCGGACGGCGAAGATGTCGTTGCCGTCTACGCGGAGGGTGGCGATGCCGTAGCCTGCACCACGGGAGGCGATGCCGTCGCCTCGGTATTGGTCTGATGTTGGGGTGGAGATGGCGTATCCGTTGTTGCGGCAGATGAATATGCAGGGGACTTGTCTGGTCGCAGCGATGTTGAGGGCAGCGTGGAAGTCGCCTTCGCTGGCGGCACCCTCGCCGAAATAACATACCGCGACACGTGGCTCTGTCTCGGGGTTCTGCACATTCTGCATTTTGAGGGCGTAGGCTGCGCCTGCTGCGTGGGGGATTTGCGTTGCGAGTGTTGAACTGATGGTGTGGATGTTGAGTTCTTTGCTGCCGTAGTGGACGGGCATGTTGCGGCCTAGACCGTTGTCTTTTGCGTTGGCGAAGAGCTGGTTCATGAAGGAGGAGAGGGTGAAGCCACGTTGGAGGTAGACGCCCGATTCGCGGTATTGGCAGAAGATTACGTCGGCGGGGGAGAGGGCGCTCGCGGAGCCGATGGCTATGCCTTCTTCGCCGGCGGAGACCTGGTTCTGTTAGTATGAAGTTGAGAGGTTTTTGGTGATTGACGTACCATGTAGAAGGATAGTCTTCCTTGCCGTTGCGCTTCAAACATCAATAGATCCATTATGCTCACTGTAGCCTGTCAATGGGATGTCCACACTCGGTAACAGTCTCACTGACACTTGACCATGTTCTTGTATAACGAAAGAGCTTCCTCATCTGAGGTCTCCACGCCAATCTCCTTGTCTATGATTTCTCCATACTGGTTCATGACACGGTACGTGGATATCGCGGGCGCCTGAGCTGGTTGCATAAACTCCATGGTATTCGTGAACTCGCTGTTCAGCGCACCAGGAAACAACACTCTGAACATTATGTCAGTCTCCCATCCCAACGCAATCCATACACAAAAACTCACCTCTCAGCCGTAGGCGTCGAAGCAACACCCCGACATGACTGCAACGCCGTACCGACAACCTTCCTCGACCCATGAAGCCCTCCTTGCAGGCCCGAAAGCCTCTGTAACCGTAATATCCGCGAAGTATACCGGAACGACATGGCTGACACTCTACATCTTCAAACCCAAAGCGCGGGCGGGGGACAGCGGTATATCAATAAATTCTGGGGAAGCATGCGCCTGGGGTAGGCGGCAAGCGTCGGCGTAGTCGACGTCAACCGCGGTCAAACAACAGCGGGCGGGCGCTAGCAAACTTCCGGTTGGTACGGCTGGCTGGAGCTAGATGCGCGTGTCATGGCGCATGAATTCGAGAAAGTCGCCCGCCAAGCCTTGTCGAACAACAACCACGACCAGCGCAAACATGCAGGCGAGCCGACAGAGGATAGGACGGCAATTGCTGGGCGGCAGGAAGAGCAGGGTGGCTAGGGAGCCGTACAGATGTTTCTCGTGCTCCATCCGACAAGCGCAGCAGAGCACGCCGCCACCGAAGTCGCCGCAGAATGGCGGCAGCGGCCAGCAAACGACGCATTTTGGGTTCGAGACGATATCTGAAGCGTTGAAAGAGCAGAGGGGTATGTCAATTACATTCTACCTCCCCTTAGACGCCCAATACTGACGGGAAACTCCAACAGTCGGCGCAGTATTCTCCTCCGTAGCCTCTTCCTACGACTCCATGAACGACTTCATGTCCCTCGGCATCCACCGCCTCTGGAAAGACCACTTCGTGCGAAACCTCAACCCAGGCCTCAATCCCCTCACCTCCCCCACCAGTCAACAAGGCATGTCCATCCTCGACATCGCAGGCGGCACCGGCGACATCGCCTTCCGCATGCTCGACCACGCCTCCACCATAAACCACGATCCCCACACGCGCGTCGTCGTCGCAGACATAAACCCCGACATGCTAGCTGAAGGCCGGAAGCGGTCGTTGCAAACACCGTACGCGCGCAGTCCGAGACTGGATTTCGTCGAAGCGAATGCAGAGAAATTGGACATGATACCCGACGCCTCCGTCGACCTCTACACCGTCGCATTTGGCATCCGCAACTTCACACACAAAGAAATCGCGCTGAAAGAGGCTTTCCGCGTTTTGAAACCCGGCGGCGTATTCGCGTGTCTCGAGTTCAGCAAAGTCAACAACCCAGTCTTTGATGCCGTGTATCAGCGCTGGAGTTTCGGTGCTATACCTCTGATAGGACAGGTGGTTGCCGGGGACAGGGAGAGCTATCAGTATCTTGTGGAGAGTATAGCGAGGTTCCCGAGTCAGGAGGAGTTTAGCAATATGATTAGGGAGGCGGGGTTCTTGGTGCCGGGCAAGGGGTGGGAGGATTTGACTATGGGGATTGCGGCTATTCACAAGGGGGTTAAGCCGAAGGTTTAGGAGGATGGAGGTTTGGGTGGTGTAGTGTTATGTCTGTATGAATACACGAGTTGACAAGATGATCACTATCTTGAGGCTCCGATCAAGTCAGTTTCGCTGATGTGCCACTATGCAAACTCATCCATCTTTCTACATCGTCTGTTGTGACCATGACATCTTCGTTATGGTGTAAGAGAAGTAATTGGCCACGGCGTCAATCCCCCCTTCGTAGCACCAACTCCGACATTCGCTTCCCTAATCCATTCCATCACACTGCAACACCGTTCCACCAGACCATCAAGGTACCTGAACACGCGAAGCGGTATGCATCGGATAGCTGCCCTGTCCGGCGTGTCAAAAGCTGTGCAAGGTGATGCACAGGCACGTCACATTCATTCAGTGTAGTGTTGTACTGGAAATTAATTGGCATTCTACTAACTTCATCTACCTTTTCGCCGAAGGGATATACATGATGGTGACTATGTAGCGTCGACCAGCCAGTCGGGATCAGCGTCTTCGTCTTCGGGGTCTTCCATCATGAGGGAGCCGGTTTCTGAGGGGGATGATGAGGGTGGAGAGTGCATTTCGGTGTCGATATCGGGTTTGGGTTCGAAGTCATCGGACTGCTCCGGGGTGGTAGACTCTTCGGTCTTTTCCAACTTCGCGTCGTTGGTGAGTTCTGCTTCCGGTATGAACCCTCCGGCGGTTTCTGCGGTTTCGTCAAGCTGCGAAGGCCCGGGATTAGCGTCTTTGGTAGCAGTGGAGGGACCGGCCTCGTCTGCAGAGCCGTCACGGACAAAGCCTCCGCCTTCTTCATCATCCTCGGAAGAGTAGATTTGACCGTAGCTACTCCTACGCCGAGGGAGAAGCTGTTGCGAATCCAGGATGGAGCTTTCAAAGCTTTGATGTCGGTTTAGACTGATGGGCGCTGGACGGTCGGTTTCTTCTGGGATAAAGCCGCCGCCTCCATCGCCGTCGTCTTCGTTATCATCCTCGGGCAGGAACCCGCCATCTCCGTGATTTTGCTCAGGTGGTTGATAGCCACCCGCTGAGGGTTTTGCAGCATCTCCCTCATCAGGGAAGAAGCCTCCGGCCATCTCCTGTGCCGCTAACTCTCTGTCCTCTTTACTAATCTCATCTTGGACATCAATGGCCGGGCCCTTTTCACCATCAATCTCGATAGCGTTGACACGTTGTGCGATGCGAAGGCCAAGGAAGAAGCGCCTCCATAAGCGCAGAGACTCAACCCTTCGCGCTTCGGCTTCAGCTTCTTCTTGTTGGTGCTCCATTCCGTCAATGACTGCCTGGACAGCATCCGCGTACTCTTGTGCAACCACGACACCCTGAACGATTGCTGTACCATGGCGACCCTTGAAGGAAAAGCCAGTGACAGCATCGGCATAGTCTACCCCAACGATACGCGCTGCTTTTGATGCGAGCTTGTGTCGGATGTGCGTACCGCCGGGCGGACACATGGACGGGACGTAGAGATCCAGATTACCGTAAGCATTGCGTGGCACGCGCCCTCGGACAACGGGAGGAGGGATGTAAAGCTCGGTCTGGAACTCTGCAAAGAGCCCCGCACCAACCTCGTCAACTTGTTCATCAACATCCATGTCTGCTCCAATCGAAGACCTTCTTCCTTTCTTGGGTTTGGCGCGCTTGAGTGGCTGCTCGCCGACCTTGACGTCCCGTCCCATACGATACCACTTGTCGGCTGTCCGGACTAGATGAACATTTGTACGACGGTAGATGGGTTCCATCTTTGGGTTCATGGCACTGCCGCAGTTGACCTTGCCGACCTGGTTCAGGGGATGTATCACTTCGTTGTGCCTGAGATGACGCTCAAGAACGTAAACTGGGTGGCCTCTGAAGTCTTGCACGTTCTTTGGAATACCTTCGGCAGCTTCTTTGCGAGCCAAAGTAGCGTCTTCCATCTGGTCTCTGTCGAGGGTGCTTCCACGCTGGAAGAATTGCATCGCCCGTTTCCACCATCTATCGCCATCAGGGGTGATTTCGACACGGTATTTCCGCGTCTTGGCATTGTACGCTTTCGCGTATCTTCGGGTGACGTCTTTGGCAGTGTAGTCTTCGTCGAACGCTATCGCGTAGGAGAGAATGTTCTGAGCAAAGTTAAGCGGTGGCTCTAGCTTCTCAGGCGAGTTAACGGTGAATGTAGAGTGTGTATCGATTGGTATCCACTTCTGGTAAGAAGGGTTGAGTACCTCCACCCAATACACTGGATACGGCGTGTGATAGGCTTTCTGTTTCTTGGGTGTTACACCTGTCTTGTTCAGAACAGCATGTCTCTCCCCCATCACACGCTCCAGTCTGGATAATTTCTTGTTACGCGGGCCCTGTGACTTGGGTTTCGTTGGACTGGGCTCTGCCGGCTTGTTGTACGGATCGACAATTATCGTGTTTTTCTGGGCGCTGGTCTTCTGCGGGGTGGCACGTTCGGCTGCAGAAGCAAAAGGTAATGGCTGTAGGGAGCAAACAAGCCTAACCTCAATACCGATGCCACGAAGAAGAGCGCAAAACAGTTGCGTTCCAACGTCCTGAGACCCTTGTAAAGTGTGCGCTGCGGTGCGAAATTCATCCTTGTCCATAGGGTCATCAAGGTCGTCAAAGTCTGAGAAGGGTCGGATGGCGGCTTCGGCTTCAGCCCATCTAGGCTTGTACATGCCTTGAGCCGTGATTCTGAACCGCTTTGACCATAGTACCTTTAGCTCGTTCAACCCATCTATAAATTGCTTCGAGGCCGAGTACTGCGACAAGTCGGGATTGGGTACCAGATTGGATAGGGTCTTGGAGGGCACAATTTTACGTAGCGTGCTTTGTACCCTCCTATCGTTGCACCAGGCATTTCTGCGATGGACGTGGTAGAGCAGACAGAGAATGTGCATCTTGTGGATATCCAAACGTCGCTTCTTGTCCACCGAGGTTATGGCCCGCCGACGCACCTTCCTCCTTGTCCCAGTGTCCTCTGTCTTTTTGGCTCCCATAGTGATGTTGATGTCGCCAATCTTGGGTGCAGCCTCAACGCCTTCGTCGGGGTTATCGCTCTCGTCGCCGTCGGCAAGCGCATCTTCCCACTCCATATCGCTATCATCTGACTCGTCCGAATCGATGATAGTCTGGCGCACTCGCTCGTTCGTACGCGGTTCCTCGTCAGTGACGGAATGGGCTGGAGCGATGGGCGGCGATCGCGTGTGCGACGGCATCTGGGATTGTGATGCAGCATCTTCGGCTTGGGACGGTACGGGTAGTGGCGACTTCGGAGCATCGGTCAGCGGTCGCCGTTGTCGTACGGGCTCAACATGGTGTTCCGGGCTTGGTTGTCGTCGTAGAGGCGCCGTTTTTCTCTTCTTGAGCGGCGGTTCGTCTGTGCTCATGGCCTGCTCTTCGCGCAGCATTTCCTGGAAGACGGCGGGTACGCCTGCATCCTCCTGTTCCTTCTTGGCCTTCCGCGTTGAGCGTCTTGGAGTAGCCGACTCCGCCGCCTTATGCGACTTTCCTTGCGCGCCTGCCATGTCTGCTGTCACCGGTAGAGTTGGCGCAAAGCGTGGGGATTCGATTGTGACGCTTGCGGTTGAGAGCTACACAGCGCAACAGCAACCATCATGGCTGCAATAAGCAGAGAGTAGATTGCGTGCAGATACCGCGATTCGCGAGTGTACTGCGTTGCGGAGGCCTGCTTGGAATGTTTCAGTGAAGGCTGACCGTGATGACGCAATCGTCCAAAAGCGCGCTATCACGTGTTTGACGGCCTAGCCTCGACCTCGGGAGCCTAACCCTGGAAGGTCGCGTCCACATCACGCTCGACAAAGTCACCTCAAGATGTATCGCAAGGTCAATCCCACACTCGGCCTATACAAGGAAGAAACGGAACAGGTCCACAGCCTACATTAAGGTAGAAACACGCCATGTAGGTCATCTAACGTCAACGTAGGCTCTGGGGTGTTCAGGTCTTCCCTTGTATGAGATGGCTCCATGAAATGGCACTTCCATGCTGAACCTAGTATCTGGGACATGTAGTACAGATTGGCAGACTCCATGGCTTTCGAGGTTGGTACCCGGATACTATGGACGTTACTACCGCGCGTAGCACAGCAGACTGTCGCTCTTCCCTGACCAGCATACTTCCTCAGTCGCACCTGTATGCTTTGTGGAAGGCGTGTTACAGCTGTCAGTATGGATCTGGGACAGCTTGATAACCAGCCCATATCTATGGCCATTGATCGAGTAGGCTCGTACTTCCGAGCTGTACCCACACAACCATACCCTGGAGGTATCCAGTGCGGCTTTACAGTTCTACAGGATACAACACAGTACCTACCTTCAGAGTCGCTTTTATATGAGGCGGGCCTGGCGACACGCTCCTTCGCATTGCAAGGTTCTGCCTACTTGACCGTACCTCGTTGCTACCCTCATCAGGACTTGCGCCTACTACATCTACGTGACCGGATGTCTTGTTATCTCCCATCCTGGTGGAGTTACCGGACGCATCAACATCATCAACATCATCAGCTTCACCGACATCAGTAGCAACACCAGAAGCATCTATCACTATTACAGCAACTCATCATGGCCATGTCTATGAAGCCCACCGAGAATGGCATTCCACGCGCTCATATTCTGGGTCTTCCATTCACGGTTGACCGAAGCTCTCCGAAACTGCCTACGGTCGAGCCACAGCCTGTTGCATACCCGCCGCGAGCACTGGAATTCACTGGCTCTCAGTACTCTGAGGCAGCGGAAGAGATAAAGGTTCCAGCGCCAGATTCAGTCCATCTCCCAAAGAAGCCACATCACCGTCCATTTGGCGCGATTTCCAGCTGCTGCTCAACCAGTCGACCTCACACACCCCCTGCGACGGCAACGGTACATGCACACGGCGATGCTCATGACGAGGAAGAAGTCTCAGCCTTGGAGAGCCCACATACCCAATCTCACGCCATGGGTATTTGCTGCTCGGGGTCTTCCTGCCTAAGTGAGGACTCTTCGCTAAAGCATCTAGGTGATATTGCGATCTCGGGCAAACAAGAGGACGTTGAGCTTGGCCCTTCAAACTTTGAGCGAGTCGTTCTCCGAATCGATGGTCTCAAGTGCGGATGCTGCGAATCAGGGCTTTCGCGGGCGGTTGGCCGCATCCCTGCCGTTAGGAACTTTCAAGTGAACACTGTCTTAGCTCGGGTCGAGCTAGAGCTAGATACCAATCGGCTGTCCGTTGACAGGATTATCGAGCTACTAGAAACGAGGACTGGATACAAATTCGAAGAGCAGGTTGCGGTTTCTGGTCAGGTTTTAGAGTTCATCATCACCGATCCCAGGCGTTTGCAGCATGCCATCCAACCACACGGCGTCACACGTGTCGAGGCCCCCGAACGAGCACCATGGCGTCCTTTCGGCTTGTTGAGTGGGCGCAAGGGCTTAACGCAGAAGAAGACGGCCGACGTCAATGATGATGCCGGTGCCGAGGACAGTCCTCGTGGAACCTCGAAGCTACGTATACCACCGACCAAGATATACTACGACGCGAACGTCATCGGCGCCCGAGACATCTACGAACACTACCTCAAATACGATCCCGATCTAACTTTAGCACCTCTAGTGGCAGACCCAGGGCTTGATCTTGGAGCCAAGCAGACCAGAAGAGCCCTGAAATGGTTCCTTCCCACACTGGCTCTCACTCTTCCAGTCCTCGTCTTCGCATGGGCCCCGCTTAACCACGAAAATCCCACGTTTGCCCACATCTCATTGGCTCTGGCAACCCTCGTACAGCTCATCGCCTTCTACCAATTCGTCCCGAGTGCCTTGAGATCTCTCTATCATTCTCACGTTCTAGAGATGGACTTCTTAGTCACGTTCAGTACGCCAACTTTAAACTACATCCTCAAAAATACGTTTGCTGACTACATACGTCCATAGGTACCACGATGGCGTACGTTTTCAGCGTCGTATCATACAAGTACCAACTTGATGGTAGGCCACTAGAAACTGGGTCGTTCTTCGAGACGTCTACGCTGTTGGTCTCGCTTCTCTTGCTTGGCCGCTTCATCAATGAATACGCCCGTTATCGAGGTAAGTCAAAGTATATCTTATCACCCAGTAGCCTACATTGCCCTTAGATATTTTCATCATGAGTTTTACTACCGATATAGTCTCCAGGACACATTCTAATCTTTTCTTGCAGCTGCGAAGTCGGTATCCTTCAGATCGCTCCAAGTCGACCAGGCAATCCTTGTGCAGCAGACCACGACGTCGTGGGCCAACGCAATCACGAGCAGAATCGACAGCAGACTATTACAGTACGGTGATTACTTCTGCACACCACCGCACACCAGAATCGTGACAGACGGCGTGGTCGTATACGGAGGCTCCGACGTCGACGAATCAATGATGACGGGTGAGTTCAAGCCGAACGCGAAGGGACTCGACTCGGAAGTCTTCGCAGGCACCAACAATGGAGACGGCCAGCTCATCGTGAGCTTAACGAAGCTGTCTCACGAGAATTCGGTCCAGCAGATTGCCGCCTTGGTTGAAGACGCTGAGTTGACGAAGCCGCGAGCACAAGCACTGGCTGATCGGGTCGCTGGTTGGTTCGTCCCCGCAATGGCTTCCATTGGGCTCACGGTCTTTCTCATCTGGCTATTCGTTGAGCGATACCACAACACAAAATCCTGGAGGGTACGGTGTTCGCCCCGCGTATATTTCAAATTCCTAGCTAACTATTTTCTAGTATGCATCCGCCAGGCTCTACTCCGCGGAGGCAGATTCAGATCAGCGTACTGACGTGTTAGCAGAAGCGCGGTACTCACAGCCATTACCTATGCCATCGCCACTCTCATCGTCTCATGTCCATGCGCCATCGGTCTTGCCGTACCCATGGTCGTCTTAATCGCAGGTGGTGTGGCCGCACGGCACGGGATCATCTTTCGGGACCCCCAGAAGCTCGAGATCGCACGCAACGTCACGGATGTCATCTTCGACAAGACCGGTACCATTACCACAGGAAGACTTGAGATCATTGGTCTCCCTATGCATCGCAACACGGACCACACACTCATGAAGGGGCTGTTGCTAGGCCTTGTGAAGGACATCAAGCACCCAGTATCTATCGCGATCACCCAGTATCTGGAACGAGACATACTCGCCCACAAGAACTTCGAACCTCTTCAAGTCAACAACATCACCAGTATTCCTGGTAAAGGCGTCCAAGGCAATTGTGCGAAAACTGGGGTGGAGATTCGCGCAGGCAACGCAGAATGGCTTCACATCAACGTAATCGGTCAATCAAAGAACACAGCATGCTACTTCACCTACGGCGGCGACCTTCGCATGAGCTTCGAACTCCTGGATCAACCTCGGCCTGAAGCAATAATGGTAATTAAAGAACTCCACTCTCGAGGAATAAACGTACACATGCTCAGTGGCGACAACGACGGGGCTGTCAGCGACGTGGCGACAACCCTATACATCGACGAGGCGAATACAAAGGCTCGATGCACACCCGAAGGAAAGATGCAATACATCCGTGATCTCCAGGACTCGCGCAGGAGATCCATCGTCATGTTCCTCGGTGACGGAACGAACGACTCTGCAGCGCTCAAACAAGCCGACGTGGGCGTGCACCTCAATGATGGTTCCGACGTTGCAAAGTCCGCGGCTGATGTCGTCCTTATCACGACTCGACTGCACGACGTTCTCATCCTACTCGACATTTCGCATGCGGCATACCGACGTATCTGCTGGAACTTCAGTTGGTCGGCATTCTACAATTTCTTCGCCATCATCCTTGCTGCCGGCGCATTCGTCAAGCTCCAGGCCAACGTGAGGATCACGCCGCAGTGGGCGGGCCTGGGCGAGCTCATCAGTGTCCTACCGGTGGTCCTTATCGCGTTCCAGATGCGCTTCCGCAACTATGGAAAACCGTACGGAGCGATGGAGAGGACGTATCAGAAGGTTGAGGCGCCGAAGCGCGAGCAGCGACGTAGTCGCCAGAGTGCAAGTTCGGCGAGCGCTGGGTGCTGTGAAATGCCCACGTCGACTTTGGCACATGTTGACGCTATTACGGGTATGAGTGAGAAGCGTGGGCTTGGGAAGGTGGCGTTCTGGCTTTCTTCGAGACGATGATTATTGTAATTGTTCTGCGTTTGGAGTTCTGTTCGGGGTGTAGGGTAGATTGGAAGTGTGAAATTCATTGTTCTTGTCTTATCTTCATGCCTGTTCCCGCTGCTTCCCATGTGCATCCCTCTATTCATTTCTAGGAGTGTGTCCTGGAGTGTACATCAAGTTTTTCCACGACATATCACAGACTGAACAGTGTATACCTTGAGGGTCTGTGGTGACACAAAGCAAGTGAGTTGACACGCTTACCATTCGTTACAACCGTACATGGCGATTGCGCGTTCTTTGGAGGTGTGGTTTTGAGTTCTCGTGACACGCTGACGCTAAAGTCGCCGCTGCCTGCCCATCCCACAGTCATGCTTTCCTGCCCTCAAGACTGAAATTTAAGACACCTCCCAACTAATCGGGGCTCTCACACACGACCAACAAGCTTGGGCGAAGCGCCGAGGAACCGACAATAGCCCCAAGATGCGATGCAGATAAGATTCAAGTAAAGGATCAATGGTGCTGAGGACGACCAAGCCGGCTGAATTTGCTTCAAAGTGCTTCACAGCATAGAGGCGTTTGCTCGGCACGTTGGGTGGTGTAGCAGCAGTTGCACAAATTCTGATCGGTACAGTCTTTTTCTTGTGGCAGGTTGGCTTCTATTGGTTGGCGTACATGGTTCCGCGAAGGTTTCTGGTCGAGTCTAGGTAAAGCTGGGTGGAATGTACGGTTCGCTACCCAGATACCGCCTTCCTTCTCCACACCTTCTCCGCGCTCATTACAGCGCGTTTGTATGGCTTCGACGATTACAATGACCGCAACGATAGGCCAGCTAGATAACGAAAGAGAGGGGTGTAAAGAAACGGTGGCGCATATTGTGAGAGCGTTTGCGCACGCGGCGCTCGTGTGCGACTTCAGTCAGCCGGAGAAGAGGGTATGCGACGGCTGCGGTCATTGAAGCCTACCTTGGTTCACATCCCTTATTCAAGTCCCTTCTCTTACATACTTGGTATATAACCTTGCCGTGGGTTATCCGGCCAAGGCTTGTCATACACTTGGTGCTGGGCATACAGAGATATAGGTATAGACTTACCATCCGCTTATCCGACTCAAAGATGGCGACTTACATCGGTACGTAGTCTTCCTTCGATTTCGCTGCGACTTTCTGGGCTTTTCTATACAAAAGATGCGAATGCGCAAAAAGCATCAAAGGATGTCGTAATCCTGGGGGCTACCACAGACTTTATACGTCCCCTGACTGATCCACACCCCGGTCGCATCACCCCAGATGCTCCGCACAAGGATCCCATCCTGCACACCTCACACCACTTTACTAACCATCCCAACGCAGAACCCCTCGCGCACCTCCTTACCGGAAACGCAACCTACCGCACCGACACAACAGCCCTCGACCCCAACGCCTTCACACTTCTCGCCCAAGGTCAAGCTCCCGACATTCTGTGGATTGGCTGCGCAGACAGTCGCATACCCGAAACCACTGTATGTCACTGCAAGCCTGGTGAGATCTTCGTGCACCGCAATATAGCGAATACGGTGCATCCAGATGATCTTTCAGCGGCGAGTGTAGTAGAATATGCGGTCGTGCATTTGAAAGTCAACAAAGTAGTTGTTTGCGGGCACACGAAGTGCGGCGGGGCGAATGCGGCTTTGGGAGACGACGATTTAGGGGGTGTTTTGAATAAGTGGCTGGGGCCTGTTCGAGAGTAAGTTTACCATTTTGATTACTCCCTTCTCTGCGAGCATGTGGGGAGGGGATCTGGTGGGGCGAACGCGTGTTCGCAGGATCAGTATCCTGGAATTGAAAAGCTACCGTACTAACAACACCGACAGACTCCGTCGTAAACACAAAGTCGAGTTGGAGGGCCTTCCCAACGATGATGCGAGGGCGGCGCGTGTTGCGGAGCTAAATGTTCAACAGTCGATTGAAGTGCTGAAACAGCATCCGGCTATTAAGAGAGCGGTTGTGGAGCGTGGGCTGTCGCTTCATGGGCTTATCTATGATATTGGTGCGGGACAGTTGAAGATTTTGGAGGAGGTGGGCGGGAGGAAGATGAATGGGCATTAGACTTAACCTTGAAGGATTGAGGGTAGGCGTTTGGATGATACAGAATTATTGCGGCAGTCATGGTCATGACTGCTTTCATAGAGGTTTCGGTTTCGGTTCTATAGCGTTTGAGGATTATCATAGGTATTCAGACTGACATGCTTAAAAGCCCTCCTTCTCCTCAAAGTACTTCCTCGTCTCATACACCGACATGAAGGGAATAACGAACACAGGATGTACCGCCCTCACCGCATCACCCTCATCCCACACCTTGTCCTCACCGTCATAACGACCCTCCATCTTCCAATGGAAAGGTGCGCCAAAGGTACCCGTACCAAGAGTCTTGTTTACATTCTCATCGTAGGCGTACTTATGTTGTACCGCACTCAGCCCAGCCAGGTTGTAGCAAGTGTGGTATGCGTCTGCGCCTTTGCCCGGCTTATCTCTCAGTCCACCCTTGTTTTCTTGACACGCAGCTAAGATGTAACGACCAAGTGCGCCGCGGTTCCATAGTCCTCTCGTGGTCGCAGCTTCGGCAATGGACCAACAGCCGCCGATCCAGTGGGAATAGCAGCCGTCGACGAGCTTATTTGTGCGGCCATTATATCCACCTTCTGGTGTGCATTGGCGCGATGATAGCCAGTAGATCAGCATGTTGACGTCTAGGTACTTGTGAAGCGTCTCTTTTGGTGGGCCGAGGATGGCGAGACTGCCTAGTCCACAGAATGCGTAGGCCCCGTGAGCTTCGTTGCCTGGAGCTGCGGAAATGCCGCCATCCCAGGACTGACACTTGGAGATCCAGTCACCCAGGCCGTCTGTGAACGTGGTGAAGCCTTGTTTTCGTACTGGTGCATCGGGTGGTAGCTCAAGAGGGAGGTTGAGGAGGGATAGTACGACTAGGGCGCAATAGGCACCGCGAATGTCTTCTTCGCCGCCTGCGCACATCGTAAAGCCTCCGTCTGCTTGCTTCATCCGACCCAAGAAGTGCCATAGTGTTTTGCGATTGATCGTCTCATATGATTCCTTTCCGCCGACCGTGGCGAGTGATAGTACTGAAGCGTATGTACAGGCAAGATGAGCGTATTGTCCATAGCCACCTCCAAATCCTCCGTCCGGATGTTGGGCCAGGGAGGCGGTGTGTGGTGTTCTATGTGCTATCAGAACATGTACGGTTGGAGTCATGTATTGGACTTTTGTTTGCAAAGGGTTGTTCAAGTTGGAAAGACCTACGTTCTGTTGTAGTCGGATATATCAGACCCCAGTGCGGTCAGACCCTGCAGAGACCAGTAGATAATCCATGGTCGCGCAGCATCCAATGCGGCAGCGCGTGCCGGCCAGTCATCAAGTTGTCCTTCTAAGAAGTAGGCGTGCTTTCGTCGCTGCAAGCTCGGTATGCCAGAAGCGTTGAGTGGGAAATTGTTGGGGTTGCCTTCCAAGAAAGGCAATATGGCCTTGGACGTTTCATCATCCGCTTCCGATGTGTCCGTTACGAGTGAATCTCTGATTGGTATCCTTATACTCTCCAGATAACCGATGTTTGCTTGCTCTTCCATAGTAGCGGTTCCCATATCTTCGTAATCGCTGTCCAGCTCTTCGTCTGAAAGCTCTTCAATTCGTTCTGATCCGGGAATAATCTCCTTTAAGCGGGAAGCAGGAGCTGAGGGACGTAGTGGAAGAGCCATCTTTTGTACGTGCACTTCGCGGCGTCTCAATATTGAGCGGTACACGACTGGGCATCCGTGAGTGGCTGGCGCGTATGATGACTTTTAGCAAGGGTTGCTTAGTATTGTTCGAGTGCAGGTGCAGCGTCCAGATATGGTATGGGTATCACGGTACGCGCTCGCATAGTGTGGCCAACATTACGTGAGTTAATGACTGCTCTTTGTCTGTTGCAAATGCTACGCAGGTACAGGAAAGAAAGAGTGGAGCACGTGGGGAGTGATCAGATTGAGTGCTAGCTGGCTTGGCGACATCTGCTATCGATAGGGAACCATCGCATCTTGTTCTCCATCGACTCACAACTCAATCCGAAGAACGCACGCCAGCCATCCCAGCAAGTTCCTCGCCGACCGCCTCGCCCGCAAGCTTCAGTGGCTTCGACTCCTGCAGAACAAACAGCATGCGCGTCCAGTCGGTCTTGCTGTGGTTGATCCACTGATGCATCGTTCCACGCTGAATCGCAACGTCACCCCGCTTCATCAACCGCTTCTCGCCGCTGTCTAGTAGACATTCGACCTCGCCCTCGAGCACGCAGCCGTAGTCCAAGCTCACAGTCCGGTGCATCGTGCACGCTGTGTCCGGGGGGATGTCGACGTGACGGAGAACTGTGCCACCGGAGACGACGAGGCCTGGGGCGTCCTTGAGATAATTGCCGTATACATCGAGATCTTGGTCGTCGTTCATATCGACGGGGAAGCCTTTGGTGGTGAAGCTGAGGGCAAAGGCGATGCCGTCGTCGTTGGCTTTCATCTTGCTCTCCTCGTTGAAGGCTTTGCTGAAGACGGCTTTGCCTTTATCATCATGGGCCGTGATGTAGCGATGGATCTTGGGCAACGCGCCGATGTGTGCCATAGTAGAGGTCTCTTGGAGTGCCGTGGAATTTGCTCGTTCGTGATGATTGAGTGGTGTTGAAGGTGAATCTGGCAATCACAACACTTGACTAAGTCGCGCCTTCTATCTCGCCAGAATGGAAGTGACAATTGACATGCCCCACGAGAGTCTCAGATATACTGCTTCACTCTCTCTGTGGGTTACACGAGGTACGGGAGATGCGCGTGGAGCCGAAGGCCGGCTGCGGATCCACATACCCAACTTCCCGTACTCCGCCATCTACGGCTCTTGAGTAGGCGTCATTGCATCAACAATAGCCTGAGTTATAGAGTTTCGTCTCGCTGCAGTTCAGGGTTCGGTATGTATAAGGTGTGCTATATTGCCGCCACATCGTTTATACGCAACAAACTTCGGCATCTGCAAAGCCAGTAAGCTGGCCAAGTGGTGAACACGGACAGCTGAGAAGGACAGAATGAATCATATCGATATTATACGTATCCTCAGACTTCCTTCCGCTATGGTTTTGACTTCCTCAAACGGGGAATATGTCGCATCCACCACCTCGCAGTGCACGCCTGAACTTCAGTTAACTAATCCGCGCTCAGAATCATATCTTGATCGCAAGCTCTTGGTATGCATCTGGCTGTATGTAGATATCCGTCTTGGCCAAGGTAACAATGTAACCCAAGCAAAGATCGCTACACAGTGCCGTCAGTGATACCAGTGGGACATGGTTTAGTGACAGGCAGCACAAACGTATCTACAACAAATGAACTAGGCCTCGATAAGACCGTTCGCACTGTGTTGATGTAGGCCAGTCGTTTGGCCCTGGGCTCACGCTGAGCTGACATCACTGGATTTTCTCGACTATAGTTCAGATGCGCAATTACTGCCCCTTACACAGGGCGAGAACTTTGCATGACCTGGTCAGCAAAGTTTTGTCGAATGAAAGCTTGAATGGTGTTGTAATGGCCGACAGGCCGTGACGTTCTTCTATCGGGTGAACCAAACTCTGGCTGCCGCGTGTACGGAAAGAGCGCTCCAGCACACCGCGACTTCCTTCACATCACAAACGGAGCAAAACTTTGTCGCAATCGCTGCTTTTCTCTCATTACATCGCCACTTCTTCTTGTGCTCACCACCAATTCTCTCAACCCCTGCTCTCATTCCATTTGTTTCTACTGCATGGCGCTACTTGCGTGGTCTTACACCCGTCACCACTTCTAGTGCTACTCCATACTCACGAGACGGGGAAGAATGCATCCCACAAAGTACCCAAATGCCTCATCCAATCTCCCCAACTGTCAAAGCTAAGGAGATCAACCGGTCACTCTCCTATCGAGTGCGGGGATGTTCCCCAACCTGTCGCCTTTCCCTTTCGTACTCTGCGCAAGTCGCAAGTCAAACCCAGTCAATAGGAAGACAACGTTGCTCGCGTCATACGGAGACCCAACATGCGGCCGCCTCGCCTATGGTACGCCCTGAGAATGTTGGACAAAGAAACGTCAGCAAGGCCGTACAGTAGCACAACGCTATCCACTCCCCATGACTTCGGATGATGGTGGCTTGCGTGGCTACTGACCTGTTAAATTGTGGGTGCGACACTGCAGAACCACGCAGATCTTGCCGAAAACGTGGAAGCATCTCTAAGACTTGGGAAGCAGTCAACTACAGTATACTTCAAACGAAAGTAAAACGAAACAGATGGCAGAGATGGTCACGAGCACTATGACGAATCTCGGCATGCCACAGCAAGAGTGATACCAATGTAATACGCCTACCAGTAAGACCGGGGGCGCTATCCTGTCAAGCTGTCGCTGCTCAAACGGCGATATGCGGGCAAGGCATGACAGGATGCACAATACTTGAAACGGCTGCCATGGACGAGAATCCGGATGCAAGACACGGCGCTCAGTAGTACGATCGGAAGCGATGTTACGCAGAAGGCGCTCGGCATGCCAGGGTAACGATGA